TCCTAATTTCAGCAGAATTACCTTCCCAGAATTCTGCATCTGCCTGGTTCTTGTCTAGTTCTAATAATGGCCACAGGCTGCATGCAAGTCACCAGAAGAGCATGAAACTCAAGATGGAAATAAGCTGGTAACTATTGCTGACTAGGTTATTAATAATGTGCACATGATGTCCACTTAAATAATGAGAGGAAACCAGATCTACAAATAGACACATTAGACTAGAAATAGAATATCTTTAAATTTTGCTATAAATAAGTTCCATAACAGCCCAGATTTTGATCACAAACTTTGTTGTATTTCTACACCATCCATCACCTTCTACTAGTCAGACACTACATACTCGGAAAGTTGTATTACTTCAAGATTGGCTTTCTTTTAAAAGAAGTCAGATTAGCAAAATAGATCTTGAAGCCATACTAATTTTTAAAAGTTTTAAATATATTAAAATATAAAAATATTTTCAAAAATCACTTGTATCGTTACAGTTCCGAACTGGTTTTACATTTATGCTATACAAATTTCTGAGAATGTCTGTTTACTTATGCTAAACAACACAAAGCAAGAATAATCCCTTAATGCATATTAAAAATTGTCACATAACATTGTCCCTTCTGGGGTATTCTCAAGACTTCTATCAACTGATACAGTGTGACCTCTGTCACAGAGCTATTTTGATCAGCTGCAGCTGGCAAGCCACAAGGCTTCAGGAAGCCCATCACAAAAGTAGCTGTTTCCATAGTTCTCCCGCCAGCCCTAATTCCTGACCAGGAACTCGTTCGTCGGTCTGTTAACAGTTGCTGAAACAACACACTGGGAAAGGTTTTCTTGCTCAAGTATCCTGACTAAATGTATTATATCATTTCCCAAAGGTTCCTCGGACCACTGCCGTCTTCCCTAGGTCAAGCAAATCTATAAAATACGCAGAAGTTGCGTAAGATTTCTCACAGCCTTCAATGTGTTAATGTAACCCCAAATCTCCTCCAGTAGTATTCAACCATGGGAAATGAGTTTTCATAAAGTATCATGTAAGTACCATTACTCCTACAATTTGTTAACAATTTTTTTCCCATGAAGCTTTACTGACCAACCGTATCAGTGATTCTTTACCCAAGAAAACCTATCATATTCTAATTAATAGGTTCACAAAAGTTGAAGAAAACAAATAATCTACCCAATTTGGAATGCTTTCTATCTCACGAAGTGGCCAAATCCATTTTTTGGATAACATACAGATTCTGGTTCCACGAGATACGGTAATCAGAAACTTGCCTCTCAAACTCTACCCACTGAATTAACGCCCCATGTCTTGATGTTTGGGCGGGGGGGGGAATCTCCTCATGCGTAAAGAGCCCTTCAAATATATGGCAATATCTCTCAAGTCACCATTATATGTTAGTACAGTACTTTAATTATACAAAGTTATTTTCACATGCATTCATTTATTTAAGCTTCACAAGAATGAGTATCATTATCATTTTGCAAGTAAGATCAGGAATTAGGCTGCATGATTTGCCCAACCTCACAAAACTAAGAGATAACTTCAAATATAGATCTTCCAAATCTGAAAACAGTTATACCTTAAACTTGATCAGTGGCTGGGATTTATCAATCCTTCACTCTCAAAAGGTTGCTGAATATGGTTTCTGTCTTAACATACTCAATTTCTGTTCTAAATTCTACAATGCATCTCATGTACTAATTACTATGCTTAGTGTTGTCATATAATCATTTATTCCTCAAATAAGCTATTATGCCCATTTAGAAGGAAAAGGCTACAAACTTTCCCATAGTTGCCAGTTGACAGAATGGCAGAACTAGGATTCAAACCCAGGATTTTCACCTCTTTAATAAGGGTTTTCTATCCCCAACATGCCATTACTTGAAACTCAAGAGATTCCCATAAAATACCTAGCTTTGCCCCATATTCTTAAGTAAAATTACCAAGTACTGTCAGTTCTATTGCGGTATTGCTTCCTATGTAAACTCTTTTCCCCAAGTGACATATGTAATCATGCCTAAAATCCACCCTGTCCTGTCTGACCTCAAGAAGTCTTCCTAGATTTAGCTCACCCAATCTACTCAATCCTATGCATCCTCGTCTCACGACTGATTTCTGGAACCAGATGGTCTGGGTTTGACTCTGGCTCTATAGTGCTCACTTCGGCAGCACATATACTAAAATTGGAAGGACTCTTGGCTCTATGGCTTCTTGGTTCTGTGACCTTAGGGAGGCAAACTGACCACTGATCCTGAGTTTCCTTACTTCTAAGATGGAAATAACAGTATCTGCCACACAGGGCTGATGAGGAGTAAATGACATGGTCCGTGTAAAGGATTTACAAGTTATCAGGCACTTGTAAGAATGTTACATAGAAATATTCCCTACTATTTTGTCTGAAATGTTTTTCACTTATTTGCAAATAAGCGAATAGGTAGTGAATGGAATGGTATAAATCCTTGGGTTCACACAATATTCATCCCTAAAAATGAATCAATACCGGGGCGCCTGGGTGGCTCAGTCGGTTAAGCGTCTGCCTTCGGCTCAGGTCATGATCCCAGGGTCCTGGGATCGAGCCTCGCATCGGGCTCCCTGCCCACTGGGAAGCCTGCTTCTCCCTCTCCCACTCTCCCTGCTTGTGTTCCCTCTCTCGCTGTGTCTCTCTCTGTCAAATAAATAAACAAAATCTTAAAAAAGAATTAAAAAAAAAAAAAATGAATCAATACCAGTAAAGAAGGATCGAATTGATTTCATCTCCTCCAGGGTCTTATCATCTCCTAATGACCCAAATATGGTGTGACAGTACAACACAGAAAACTAACAGGGGTGAAATGTGGTGAAGAGAAGGAAGCAGTGGGGCTTCAAGTTACACATAGCCTCCATCTTCCAATTCTAGTTCTGCCATTTGTGAGATATGTCACCAGGCAGCTTATTCCACCTCCTTGAAATAAGTTTTCTTAATAACTATCATTAAACACCATTTTATAAAAAAGTTAAATGGACTGCATATGTAAAATACCTGGCATTTATTAGATGCAAAATAAATGCTGGTTCCCTTCTCCTATTTCAACAGCTTGGGCTATAATTAGAGCTGAGAACTAGGGTCGTGATAGTGAAAATGGAAAAGCGGTATTCGTGAACATACGACACAGGCAGATTTTGTGAACGTGAGGAGGACAATACAAGCTGAGTTTTACTCCATTTGTCACCATGTGCAGAGTGAGCTTCATAGACCGTCTGGTTTTATTATGGCCCAGGGGTCACATCAGAACTCACGGCACTTTCTCATGTAGAGAAACCAAAGAAACTGCACTGGGGGTCAGGTTTTCTCCTCAAAAATTATACGAACAGACTCCAAAGAAAACTAGTTGTCTAAGAAGAGTCGAGGACTCAAGAACAATCTGCTCTGGCCCTGCCCTGGAACCTCTGAGAAATCAGAGCTGCAGGAGATGAGCTCTGCAAGTAAAGCATACCGGAAGGCAGAAAACGGAGGAGTGAATCCCACCAAACTAGCTACAAAACTCACCCTGGCCCAACGGCTGTGGAGGTCGCACAGCTACTACACTGGAGACAAATGTGCATGCGTGGTTCTACTTCACTTCAAAACAGAAAGGAAGAGGTATAAAAGCAGATAACCCTATGGTATAGGTTAAACAAGATTTTACGTAGTGTCTACTAGTATTCTTTTCTAAGTTTAGCAAATATTGAATCAAGTGGAAGCACAGATAATAGGGTTAAAGGAAACAGAACTAACAACTGTCTCTGATCCAACAGTAGGTTAGGCTGATCCACTATTAGCTAAACTTTGACAAGAATACTACAACACTATGCAAAATTTTCAATAACCAAGAAAAGGTTCTAGCCCTATCAAAATATAAATCTAAAAATGTTCTGGGGGGGGGATGGTGAAAAGCGAGCTTCCTGGATAAATATTACAAAAATTAAATGCTGAAACTGGACGTAAATGCTGTATTATTCTATTTGTGTTTTTTAGATTTCTCAAAACAGAAAAAAGAACAGCCTTCAGCATTACAGCAATCACGTAACTGAAGAAGGCCACCACCAGCTCTAATCAGTTCTAATGACATGAAGAGTCGGCTTCCCTGAAGAAGTCTTTTGAACAAAAGAGAAAAAGACAAGTGCCTCAAGATCCCTATCTCTCACCTAGTTTGTTTCTTTGCTTGAAAAGTATTATTCTGAAATGCTGGTTCCACTCCACTGTTCAAGAGGGCAACATTCTTTCCCATTTACGTGGGACTAGAGCCCAGTGTATGGAACGTAAAAGGTATTCATCTTCAGACTAAGCTCTTTAAAGGCCATTAAGTAGGACATGTGAATAAGATTTCATTTATACTAGGCTACATTTATTCTGAAAATTTAGCTCAGTATTTCATGAATACTGAATATATAATGGTATAAATGGTATATATGGTATAAATCCTTGGGTTCACACAACATTCATCCCTAAAAATGAATCAATACCAGTAAAGAAGGATCGAATCGATTTCATCTCCTCCAGGGTCTTAACATCTCCTAATGACCCAAATATGGTGTGACAGTACAATACATACCAAACCTCCCCCCCCCCAAAAAAAAACACCCCACCATTTGACTTTTGAACATAGACAAAAGCAACTCATAACTGAAATAATTTTGCTGTCTGGTTATAAAAGATCCAACTTGACGTCCCACCCTGATAATAGGAAATAACTTAGTAGCAGGGGCTACAAGGATAAAGATACAGGCACTACAGTGTGACCACTTAGAGATAAGAAGGCAGCATTCCTGACAGGTCTCCTTAAAACTAAACGCAGTATCAAGTATTATGTTTTGTTACGAATGGATACAGTAAAAACCTAAGACTGCCTCAAGCTGCAAAAACAAAACAAAACAAACAAATCTGACTACCTTGAAAGCATAATCACTTCTGACAAACCAAGAAAAATGTCCATGGGAAAAAAAGGAAGAAGAAGAAAAAAAGAAGATATTTCCATACACTTACTTGCTAATTTGGCCTGTAATCCAGAAGGTCCAGGTTTTGAGGTCTCTGACTTAGAAGACCCTGGAAGAGACAGTTTGGTTTTAGGAAGGCTAACTTTAGGGCTGAAACGAGCAGCCCAATCGAATTTTGAAGAGCCACCAGTTTTACTCTGTTCCTTTTCCCTGCTACTTCTTCTGGGACTGGGACTGGATGCTGAACGGGAACGCCTGGCCTTGTTCTGGTCTTTTCCTTGTTTCACCCTGGCCCCTGGTGGTACAGTGGAGGAGGCCGAGGCAACGGCAGAAGAGGAGGAGGAAGTAGAGGCAGCGGAGGAAGAATCAGTGATGGCGCTGCACCCAGCTTTGGCCGAGGCGGCGGATTTTGAAGCCAGCTTGGTGGGTTTTGCAGATCTCTCTTCGGCACCAGTTGACTCAGACACAGAACCACTTTTTATACAAGAACTCTCTGTCCTCTTTCTTTTCTGACTCCGTGAACTGCCAGCGGCCCCACTCTTTCTGGTATGAGCCTTACTTGTTGAGGGCGATGGTGCAGATTTCAGTTGTTGCTCCTGGTCTAAATGTCTCTTCTTTGACTTACTATGTGGCTTATTTGTTTCAGAGGGAGATTCAGTATGCTGAAGTGCTTTTGGTTTTTTGGCAGAGCTAGGAGAATTGGTCCTGTTGTAGTCTGGACTAGCACTGCGTTTCACTCCTCGAGAATTGTCTTTCTTAGGCACCTGCCCCGTTTTTTGCCTTTCTGAAGTATTGGCTCTGTCTGGATCCTCTGGTTGTGGAACTATGACAGCAGATGATGAACTGCAGCTTCTGAGAGGTCAGATAAGAAGAGAGTTAATATCAGTCTGCCATCACTGTATCTGTCGTAAAATACTTATTAACTTCTCAAATCTGGGCAAATAATACTTTAAAAAAAAAAGATGCAAAGGTTTCCTGATTAAGTCCAGGGCTAAATAAACACAGGTTTTCAAATGGTTCAGGAAAAAAAAAAAAAAGGCAGGTGTGACTTTGGATGGTTAAATATTTGATTAGAAGATCAAATATTTGAATAGATCAGAGTAATTCTTTAGCCCAAAGATTACTTACACTAACCCTCCTAGTCACAAAACAAGAATTAAGAAAAAGAATACTTAGCAGTTCAGAACTAGTTGATACTAGAATACTGATGCTCTATTCACAAATACAACTTCTTTGTCAAAGCTTGAAATAAATAACCACTTATTAGGAACTTTCAAAATGAAGGTAAGAAAATTATATAGTATATTATCATTCCTTTCTAAAAGACTCCTGCCAATTAGATCTTAAGAAATCACTGACCTTAGGCTCTACCAATAAAAAACTAAAAACAAAAAAAAGTAAAATGGCATTTCAGATGCCTATAAAGGTTTAATCAAAAGAGGAACCTCACGGCTCTCTAACCAAGGGAAAAAAATGCGTTGTCTAGAGCTTACTGCATTGACATCACTGCAAAGTAAACCATTAATCCTTAAAGTTACATTCAGGGAATAATGAAAACACACATCACAACATCCTGGGATAACCTGCTAAATTTTAATATTATGCAATGATTCAAATGCAAATAATTCTGCCTTGAAAATGTACAAGCAATGTGAAGATTTACCTTTTAGAAAGGTGTCCCCTTGACAGTTCAGAAGTATTAGACTGCACTTTGGGTGCCTTAGAATTAGATTTTCTACTCTCAGGAGGGCTATATCCCTTATGTTTTGCCTGCCCTAAATGTGACCTGTCAGCAGAAAATCAAAACAGAAATCTATCAGGAAACTGAGATGCAAATACAGTACTGAAAAGTGAATTATATTTTTTTTTTTAAAGTCTCCCAATTCATTATTGATCCTACCCTTTCCCCAATTATTTCCATAATTAAATTATTGTTCTACCAAATAATCTTGCCAAAAAATTTGCCTTAGAACCAATACCTCAATACCCAAGAGTGCAGGTCTTTAATACCAAGTTTCATGACTGAATAGCAATATTATAGTTACTTAAACAATGAAGAATTTTTCAACAATTGTACTGCAAACCCACATAGGCTAAATGTTTGCAAAAAGCAAATTCGGCCTTTAGAAATCTAAACACTACTTTTAATAGATAATGTGAGTGTAACAGCTTAAAAGCTTTATGGAAGAGGCAGTCTGTGATCTCACAATGATAATGATTCCCAATTTGTAGATTATAATTCAGGTTAGCACAGTAAATGCAGAGGCAGATGAAATCAATTCCCAAACTGATTTTACATAGAAAATCATTAGAGCCCTAAACAGTAAATAAACTTACATGAAATCAACGGAATGATATTTGCTAAGAATGTAACGCACTAATATAATGTACACCAAAAACGAAGTGCTAGAGAAAGAGATAAAGAACTGACCACAAAATATTACAAAACATTCAAGAGAGTCCATCATTGATATACGGTTGGGTTATATTTGTAATAAAACAAATGCTGTGCCAGCATTGTTCTAAGAGCAAGTCTGCAGGACACGAATAAACTGTTTTTCAGTTGTTAGATTTTTTTTTTAACCTCAATGATTACATTAGAGTTACATAAGCAATAAAAAAAAGAGCATGCATTAATATATACCCAGAAAAGCTGGTGTTACAGTGGTGAGATATTAACGTTAACAGATGCAACTCTTTTAATTCACAGACAACATCCATCCTTCATGTAAGTAACATTAAAAGAGCATATTCTGGTAAGAATAACAAAGTTTCATTAATACCAAAGTTGTTTACTTTGTTAAAAAAATTTCTTTAAAGGATTTCATTCTGAACATCATCTCAAAGGAACTTAGAAATAAGTCACTGAAACCTCACATGACGATTCTAATTGAATCTGTAAGGATGCCACACAGTTCTTAACATATCATACAAGTTCCACCATTTCTTCAAAAAGATGCTCTAAGGTTTCTCGTCTCTTATTTTTTTTCTTCCATTTTTCCAGAAGAGTTCATTACTGGATTCTTGAAAGAAGATATGAAATTAGCTTCTCAATAAAAAGAAATATTTTTGGATCCGTAATATCATTTTCATTTTTAAGATTTTAATATATGACAGGCTAGCACTTTCTAAAGACTTACTAGTGTAGATCAACTACTTAAAAACTCTACATTAGTCTTTTCAAGTCTTAGTCTTGACTGTAGTAATGAATATAAGCATTTTTCAAGATACATGGTTTTTCTGAGTGTCTCCAAGCTGAACCTTGTAAGATTTATCCACTGTGATTTAGTTTGCATTTTTCCAGACTGAAATTACGTTAACCCATGAGTTTCCTATTAGAGATTTAATTTCTAGAAGTTGCTTTTTTGTTACATTTTTACTAACAGATCTGAGAGTTCTATTTAAAAAAAAGAAAAGAAATTGAGTATGTTTTCAAGTCATCCTAATTACTTTTTAAAAGGTATAATGTTCTGTTTTCAGGGTATACAATTTAATATCCATAGATCAATATCTATAAATTATGTCATTCAGATTCTCTATATTCTTATTTTAGTCAAGTTTGCTAAGGATTAATTTTTAATTGAATCACAATTTCTACTTCAGTATAAAATTTAAAATATCCCTTGCTGTATTCCTTGATTGTAATTTTAAAATCATTTTAAAAGAAAACTTTATCCAGAGTTAGACTACTTTGCGGTAACGTTCAATTAAATATTCAAATGGCAATCTTAAAAAATGTTTATCGTAATATATTCCTAGTTAATAACTAGGGGATGGGAGAGGGAATTCATTCTCTTTGTCAACAGAATCTGACCAACATCAACGCAATGCTGACAGCGCTGTAGAGGCAGAAGCCCTTCTCTTTTTACCCCAAACAAACTGTTCCTGGCTCTTCAACACATCTAACTTTATAGCCACTTAAATCAACTCCTGAATTTCTATTGTTCTTACACCTTCAATGACCTAAAGGATTTAGCAGGTAAATACTCTAAATACTCAATATTTGATTACGAAAGAAAAAAAAATCCACCCATCTTGGAAACTGAAACTCACAAAACTAGCTTAAAACCAACAATGTCCACATTGACCTGACTGCACCTTTCCTAAAATTAAGTGTAACATTCTCACTGAACACTGGTTAAAAACATTTCAAAATATTAAATACTGATCATGGGGTGCCTGGGTGGCTCAGTTGTTGGGCATCTGCCTTCGGCTCAGGTCATGGTCTCAGGGTCCTGGGATCGAGCCCCACCCCGGGCTCCCTGCTCAGCGGGAAGCCTGCTTCTCCCTCTCCCTCTCCCACTCCCTCCCTCTCTCGCTATGTCTCTGTCAAATAAATAAAATCTTTTAAAAATACATAAATAGATAGATAGATAGATAGATAGATAGATAGATAGATGGATAGATAAATACTGATCATTACTGTCCTTCCACCTATTGTATATATTTTCTGTCAAGGGTAGTAAGTACTTTTGGCTTTGTGGGCAATACTAGGTGTCACATAAGCAGGTATAAAATATGTAAACATATGGGTATGGCTATGTTCCAATCAAATTTTTATTTACAAAAACAGGCAGGAAGCTGGATCTATCCCATGGGTCATACATTAGTTTTCTAACCCTTGGCTTACCACAAGACAGTAGGCATCCAGATGGTACCGTAAAGAAACAATATGGGGCCTCCCAAAGTGGGGCTCTGTTTTATTATGCCCATTTATAAATTATTAATGCTTAGAATACTGTAAATCTCCATAAAATAATAGCACCCAATCTAGAATAGCCAATTAGAGTATCACAGGATTCAACACTTAACAAGCCTTGTTGCCTTTTAGATCATTTCACCAATTCCCTCATTTATCAGACCTTAATGCTCAATATTAATTTTTATTAAAAATTTTTTAAAAAGCATAATCTAAGATCCAGTAAAATTTATAGCCACTACAAATCAAATTTGCAAAAATAACACAGTAAAATTCATGACAAACTCTTTTAGACAGCACCAGAATGAGCCCATTTAGTAAATTATAGCCCAAGGATAGGTGGATAAGTGGGTGGGTGTGTATCCAGGAGCTTTTATATCATCCTATGTATATTCCTGGGGGGAAAAAAATCTCTTTCTGCAAAATCACTAAAAATAACCAGGTGAAAATGAGAATGGGCACAGAGCACTCGAACCTATGTTATTTTATAATCACGTTCCTAACAAAAACATCACCAATTTTAAAGATTAAATCTCCACTAACGTTTGCACCAATAATCACAGTTGGCCCACTCTTTGGAACCTTATTTTTTTTTTTTATTTATATGTAGCTATTTATTTATGTGTACATAAACAAATGTTTATTTATATATCCTAATATACTTAATATGCCAAATTAAGACCATTATCCTAATGAAGGGATTTGAAATAGAATTCCAAAAAAATCATTGAATACTAGCTGGAAGAGATATCAGAAATATTCTAGGGCATATGCCAATATTGAGGCTTGGTGGTTTTGGGTTTTCTTGGATAAAGTTTTTTTTTTTTTTAATTTATTTTTTGGAACCTTATTTTTGTACTTTCTCCTTTTAAGTGTGAATTTTTAAAGACATTTAAGACCAGCTTCAACAAAATTAAAAATACAATTCTGGGGGATGCTTTCCTTTTTCTCATTTTTGTTATAAATACAGAAGTAAATGGTTTTGAGCTTCCTTCGATGTTCAACAGTGCAAAGTGTAGTGGTTCTGGAAGTCACTGAACTAGCTACTTCTTACACTAAGTGATTTCTGTAAATCATTTCTGTAAGATTTTCAAGCTTTTTCGTAAGATCTTCATAGCTTACCAAATCTTCCATGCTAACTGAACATCTATTCAATTTCAGTTCATATATTAACACTGTAGGAAATACTGCCTATGAACCAACACTACTTCCATGTTATACTGACATCATTTCCCTATTTAGCAAGTGTATGTGGGCCAACTCATATTAAAGAAACCCAAGTTACAACAGAACAGACTAATCAACTCTGGGTTATGTGCTTATTTTAAGACTCACATGCTTCTTGTTGACTTTTAGGCAAATCATAGTTGACTGCCCCTTTATTTAATAAAATACTTGGTAGTCCAAAGGGTTAAAAACCATCTCTAATCCAGGGGACATCTAAGACAGGATAAAATCTTGTATCAAAGAACTCATTCTTGTCTTAATGGTAGGAAAAATGGCTAGTTATAAGTAACCAGTTAATACTTTACATCACCGGTCTTGAATTTTGTTTGAAACTAATTTTCTTGCCAGACATATTCACAGTTCAAATACATGTACATACTACCAAACATAAATGACTTGGGGCTTGGGGCGCCTGGGTGGCTCAGTTGGTTAAGCGACTGCCTTCGGCTCAGGTCATGATCCTGGAGTCCCGGGATCGAGTCCCGCAGCGGGCAGTCTGCTTCTCCCTCTGACCCTCCCCCCTCTCATGCTCTCTCTATCTCATTCTCTCTCTCGCAAATAAATAAAATCTTAAAAAAAAAAAAAATTTAAAAAAAAATGACTTGGGGCTTAATTAAATCTCCAAATTTGTTTTTTTGTATGTGTATAGAGATGTGCATGCATTTTTATGCTTTTATATTTTATATACAAAATTAACAGTATAATTTTGTCTTCTAAAAATTAAATGCTTTGTTTATAAGGTTCATAAATAAAATGCATGTTTTAAATTGATTTTTAAATACTGATTTTCAATAATCAGGGTGGAAAGTTCATTTAAATTACTTTAAACAAAAAACTCACTAATGTTCTCAGCAAAATGT